AAAAAAGGGGAGGGATTTTCACCATTCAAAATAATTTTCATTTTTTGAATTTTACATATTTTCTATGATTGCATTTTTAATCATTCAATTTAATCGTCATGCAGCCCATGATGGAAAAGAGGACCTGCAGTTTACACTTGTTATCTTTATTTCTTTATTACTTTGAGTTTTTATTTTTGTAATTAACATAGTAAGGAAAACATTTTATTATTCTTTTTCCAAGTGATAAGTAAAGACTTGTAACAACATTAATTGTTTAATGTTATGTATAAAAAGTCAAATACAAATTTCTGCAATTTTAATGACCAGAGATTATTATGATTCTTTAATTTTATGTATCTTTCTGTCAACTTTTAATGTATACTTTACATATATGTTGTATAGTATACTCAGGGTTTTTAACCTTCACTATTAATAAAATCACCAGGGGGAGATTTTTTTAAATTCCACCTTGATATAATTTTTAGGTCCAATGTATTTTTATTGCTGTCTTTTCCACTGTTGTCCTTTGAAGTTAAGTAATATATTATATATCCTACAAGTAACATTAAAAGATATACTTGGGCTCTTTGTAACATCATCCTCAAAATTATAGAAATTTACCTTGAAATTTCCTCTTAATGGAGTTCTTGACTACAACAACTACAAGGAGATACCATCTCACACCTGTGAGAATGGTCCATACAAAAAAAATCATAAACAGGAAGTGACTATAAGGTTTGAAGATAAAGGACCTTTTATACACTGATGGTGGGAATGTAGACTGATCCAGCCCTTTAGGAAAACAACATGGAGGTTTTTTTAAATGTTAAAAGTAGATCTGTTATATGATCCAGAAATTCCACAGCTGGTACTTATCTAAAGAATGCAAGAGTGCTAATGTGAAGAGTTCTGTGCACTCCAGTATTCATTGCAGCACTATTTACAATGCCTAAGTTTTGGAAACAATTTAAGTGCCCATCACCAGATAAGTACATAAATTTACACAAGGGAATACGACTCAGCTATAAAGAGAGATGAGGAGATCATACTGTTTGTAGCAACATGGATGGAACTAGAGGGGATAATGCTAAGTAAAATAATGAGAAAGACAAATACCGGCTGATTGCAGTCATGTGGACTATAAAGACACAAAACATAGGAACAGATGAAGTCAAACCAAAGGAACCCTAGAACTAAATTGAGACTATGAGCTGAGAGAATAGGAGTGGGAACCCAGTGGGGGAAGATGGCCACTGACCTATGGTGGACAGTAATGATGCTTGAGTGGTAAGTGTGTTTCAGTAACATACATCTTGAAGAGATGTGAATTTAAACCCCTAAGTCATCTACAGTGTTACCTTGATTAAAAAAAAAAAGTTACAGAAAAATAACATGAGCAATAAACCATGAAAAAAATTAACCTTTGTTTTAGCAATAAGTTTGGCAAAAGATTTTTCTAGTTGTGTTTTTAACATATTTTCATGTGTTAAAGTGACAGTCTTTATGAAATGAAATTGAAAGTTTGCTACTTTCTTTAAATAGTAAAGCAGCTATAGTTCAGTGCATGTGAGGTCTCCAATTCCATTAGAGAAATTTATATTCCATATCTCACATTAGAGCCATTCAAAGTAAATGTTTTCTTTTAAGAAAATGTTTTGGTAAGCCCTCTAAATTTTATTCCATCTAGTTGGTTTTCAGTCACTTTGTACTAGAACCTCTGTACTGTACTAATAAAAATTAAAAAATATTCAGAAATGTGGTTTTCCTTTCTGCCTAGATCATCCCTTATTTTGTGTTATTCCTTGTAGGTCACCACATCGTGGAGCCTTGTGGCAAGCCTGTTCTCACACCAAATAATTCATTCTCCAAAGTAAGTAAAAGGCTGCCTTCTTTTATGTCTTATCCCCTTAGCCAAAAAACTAGCTTAGTTGTGCTTTGAACCAAGCTGATTTCATATTTAAATATTTGCCTTTGTTAGAAGTATGTATTTACAGTAGGAATATCTTTTAGTGAGCTTATAAGCCTTGCTAAGTGAGGCCCACACATAAAACCCTGACACAAGCTATGCAACGTCTATTGACTAACAGATTCCGGGTAGATCGGGAAAAGCTCTGAAAAATCAGAATTTCCACTGCTAACTTATATTATGACCTTCCTTTTTTGTTTAATCATAATATCAAAATATTCTGAGCAACCATCAGTTTACAACTGGATTGTCTTAGCCTTATAAAGCAGCTGCCTGGTTCAGCTGCCCCAGGGCGAGAAATCCCTCTGTCTCTTAGACAGAAGGCAAGCCTCAGGAGAGATAAGACCCCAGGGCATAAAAACTCCTGGGAAGCTTCCTTGGTTTCTTTATATAAAAAAGCAAACCTCAGATAAGACTCCCAGGGCATAAGGACTCATGGACAAATTTTAATCTTGACTACACAGGTGTTGTTTGATACACAACTGTTACAACTTTCTCTTAATTTACTCCTTTTTTTTTTAAAGATTTATTTATTTGTGCATACAGAACTAGGGTACAGGCCAGAGGAGCAGGGGCGGTGAGAGGCTTCACCAGAGACAGAGCGGGGAGCAGAACAGGCAGATAGACGAAGTACACTGCTGAGGGGAGCAGCGGGCGGGTCAGGAGAGGTCTGCCGCGCCATGTGGTCACCTCCGGGGCAGGCGGGGATCGAACTCATGCGGAAGCGGCTTTAGATTCTCAGTGCTGTGCCTTAACCCGCTGCGCCACCAGGGAGGGCCCTTAATTTACTCCTTTTTAAAACAAGCACTAACTACCCTCTGCTAGCCTTAAACTAGCCACTAGCTTTTCTTTAGACAATCACTGATAACACTGCTAACACAATTTAATACTACCCCAAGATCCCTAATAACCTTTTGCTAACGAGCTCACCCCTTCCCAGACCTCTCTTCCTTTGAGTGATAACTGGACAGCTGTCACATGACAATTATCACAAGAATGTATAATCTAGTATACCATAATTTGTTAAGAGAAAAATGCTTTGTTCCCCTTGTCCTTGAGAATGTTTTATGGTGATTTCTCATTAACTTACCCTATGCATTATTGCAATTAACTTCTTGTTACACAGTATAAATAAAGACCTGCTGAGGAATGGCAGGAAGACTTGCACCCTATCCTGACTCCCGTGTCTTCCTCGTGCCCGCTCCTCTCTCCCCTTTTGGAATCTCTGCTCGCCGACACCTTCCCACCTTAGGGCCCTGCCTGTCTTGCCTCCAGATACCTTGATAGTTGGAGCTGGTCTCCAACAAAACCCTATGCAAGTAACCCTCCCTTCATTTGGTATCCACTCACCTTTTTAAATTATCTAATTACTTAGATAGATAGCTTTAGAGGTGAGATTGCTATAATAATGTGACAGTTCTTTGGTTGTTAGAAAACCAAAAAGAGGAACTAAGGGCTCTCTCTGGTGGTGCAGAGGGTTAAAGCACAGTACTATTAAACTGTCTGCAGCCACTGCAGCACAAGTTCAATCCCCAGCCAGGGAGGTGACCCACATGGCGTGGCAGACCTCTCCTGGCCAGCCCACTGCTCCCCTCGGTAGTATATTTCAGTAGATCTTCCCATTCTACTCCCCACTGTGTCTCTGGTAAATTCTCTTACCCCACCCCAAACCCTTCCCACCTTTGGCCTATACCCCAGTTCTGTGTGCATAAATAAATAATTTTTTTTTAAAGTGGAATTAAGAGTAGCATTGTTCCTTTGGATTAATTTGATTAGCAGTGAGCCTTAAAAGTCAAATCTCTCCTACTGGTAAGGAAAAGGAATATGGGCAAAAGAAGTAGTTTTGCTTTTGAAAGACATAGGAAGTACTTTATCACATAATAAAAAGAGAAAAAATTAGTATGGAGAAATATGGGGGTGATGTAACAAAGCTATTTCAACATATAAATTCTACTTTAGGCTCTCTTTAAGACTACATATATGACTGCTTGATAATATTTCTTATGATTACCTTCTGATAAGTACATTCTAAAATCATCACAGCTGGACCTTCATCTTGTGGAGTTATTTTCTCCCTCACCCATTTCATGCAGTTTGTCCTGTACCACACTTCATGAATGTCTTTCCATGTGAAACCTACGTGGAGGCATGGTTCATTTAATGACTTGAGTTAAGATCAGCTATCAATCAATAGGTTTCTGTACATAAACTGGATTTAACTAGTGTAGGAGGCGAAAATGAATCATTTAGTGACCAGAAGTACAAAACTCATCTCACTTTGTTATCTCTGACTTTTCATTTGTGGTTAGCAAATTCTGAAAAGATACTGTATCAGAAAAAGTGTAAGACACAAGTGATTGGGACATAAAAATAAAAAATATTTGAATATCTGTGGATTGAAATAGAGCAACATTCAATATTCTCTTTATTCAGAAGATCTTCAGTTTCACATAACTGAAGCAAATGAATTTTGATAATTTTTAGCATTAGTCATGCTGTATAGTGCTTTTCTAGTTAAAATCAACACATTGTTGAAAAGAAGGGTAGAGTTTCTGTTTAAATTAACACAAAACCCTAGAAACTAGGGATTTTGGTATTCATAGCTGCAAACATTATTTTGTTGGAGTTAAAAATCTTCCAAGAAGTCTTCCAGACAGTATTCAATCTTTTAAAAACTAGTGTGTACTGTGAATTACTCATGATGATAGTGTTTCCCAGTCCAGTGAAATTTTTTGATGTTATATAACCACTACATATAAAGAAATAATTCCATTGCATCTAACTTTCCTATTTTTATCTTAATTAAAAAAGTAAAATCTTCATAGAAAACTACCTAATACTTGTATAAGTTATTTTAATTTGTTCTAATCTGATTGTTCATCTTTGTCTAAATCACTGCACTTTCAATGATCTGCACACCATAACGTGCATTACAGTTTACCATTGGATTCAAAAGTTACCCTCTATTCAATAATGAACCCGTTGTTATTTTTCCTAAATTGGAAAGAGTCTACACTCAAAAATCTTTATACCTAAAAGTTGATCAGGGCACTAAATTGGAGTCTACACCCATGTAACAGCTTCACAAATACTACATAGATTTTTTTCTCCTTCGTCAACTTTTAAAATTAATAGTCCTATTAAACTTTTCTTGAAAGCTCTATAGAAGACAAATAAATGTGCCCGGAGACATTTCTATAGTCAAATAAGTCTACAAAATACTATCTCATAGATTTCTCTTTTGGCTATTCAATAATAAGTGTTGTAAGAATTCCTGGAATAAAAATAACCATTTAATGTTGTTTAATCTAGTGTTCCCTGACATATTTGATAATCAAAAATCCCATCTCTCAGGACATTTCATTGCACTGGTGTTTTCTAGAAATATTTCTGTCAGGTGGGGAAATGGAAATGCAATTAGGAAGAAGGGGGAAAGAGCATGGAGGGGGACAATATGCATTACCCCCTAGCGGTAAGTTAGTGAAATAATAATTTGTTGTCATTTTATACCTTAGGTTAATGGGGAAGAAATCATTGAAGTTTTATACCCTGAAGAAAAATGTTCAACTTATCAGATGAAGGAATCAGCAGACTTGATTTTGTCCGAAGGTAGTTTTCCAAACCATTCATCCAGTCACTCTAACTGCCCTAGTAATTCAGGTAATAAAGAAATATCAAGTGTCCTGTTATTTTTCTTATGTGGTCCTATGGCTTTTAAAAAGTATAAAATTAGCTTTCTGTGTTAATGTACAAATGTCCAGTGTTCATTCTCATTTCTAAGGTTGATTTTAAATGATTGAAAGTATAATTGTTATATTTTATAACGTTTGTTCCTTGAATTTTAGGGAGCAATAATTCAAAGCTACCTAAAAAATTAGGAAATTTTTTTCTTGAGAATATTTGGTTGACCTAGTACGCCATTATTGCCATGTGGGTACTTTGTGTCTCATTCATGAGTTAATAATTTGAGGTTAATTCAGAAAATTAGACATTAAGTTATTAATGTCTCATGAGAACATGCCAACTTTTTCTTTTTAGCTCATTCTTCATAAGCTTCATTTGTAAGGTCTTTCGTTGTAGCAGCCAGATTAGTTCTAGAACTAAAAATGAGGAGGTCCTCTTAGTATAGATTACATTACCAATCATGGCAGCTTTTCAAAATGGATGTTTAAGTTATGAAACACAGCATTTCCTATTTGACACAGTATCTCTATATCAGTGTCTTTTTTAAGTAAAACCCATGTAAACTACCTCTTTTCAAGACTCTAATGTACAAGAAGATGACATTTATGATGATCCTCAAGAAGCTGAAGTTATCCAATCTCTTCTGGATGTTGTAGATGAGGAAGCCCAGAATCTTCTAAACCAAAATAATACAGCAGGAGACACCTGTGATCCAGGTAGACAAACTAGAAGGAATACGTCTATGAAGGAGTGTAAGAAAACCTCTTAGAGAAAATTTTTTGAGTAAATATGAAATGCACGGGCATTTCTCCCTATAGTCAATACTGGTGGGTAGTATTCCAGAAGTAAAACAAAATTTGGGTTCCTCTCTGGTGGCGCAGCCAGTTAAAGCACAACACTAAGAAGCGAATGCCACTTCAGCATGAGTTCAATCCCCTCCCTAGGGGTGACCCACATGGTGCAGCAGACCTCTCCTGACCCACCTGCTGCTCCCCTCAGCAGTGTACTTCGTTGATCTGCCTCTTCTGCTCCCCACTCTGTCTCTGGTGAATCCTCTCACCACCTCACACTTCTGGCCTGTACCCCAGTTCTGTATGCACCAATAAATAAATCTTTAAAAAAAAATTGTTCTCTTCCACAAAAAATATGTGGGTGAGTCACCTTATTATCCTTATTATCAAGATCTACTATCTTTAGAAGTTTTGCCCAAACTTTCCCCTGCAGTTGCATTCTTGAGGCATTGCAAATTTTTATGTAAAATACAAAAAGATAAAGTAAAATATTCACCACCATCCACTATACCCCTTCCACTGTTCCTCTTACCCCTTACCCTCTTCACTTCTACTAACCATAGTTTATCAGTGTCACTAGTTTGTTTTTATTTTGTCCCTTCAGCCAGTTTTTTTCTTATATTGTTCATGTAAGTGAAATCAATCAATATTTGTCTTTATCTTTCTAATTTCACTTTGCATAATCCCCTCAAGTTCTTTGCATTTTGTTGCAAATGGCAGAATTGTTTCTTATACCTAAATAGTACTCCATTGTGTATATATACCATCTCCCTTTTATTAAATCATCTGTGGGCACTTAGGTTGCTTCCATGTTTTATCTGTTGTAAGCAATACTGCAGTAAACATTGTGGTACTCATAACTCTTTGAGTTGATGATTTTGTATTCTTGAAATAGAAGCCCACAAATGGTATTGGATCAAATGGTAGTTCTACTTTTAAATTTTTGAGGAAAATCATACCATTCTCCAAAATGATTGTACCAATTACACTCGCACCAATAGCATATTAAGTTTCTTCTTTCTCTGTATCTTTGCCAGCACTTGTTGTTATTCATTCTATGTAGACCTTTCTCACAGGCATGAAATGATAGTTCATTGTGGTTTTGATTTGTATATCCTGAATAAGAAGTGGTGATGTACATTTTTTTTCACATGTCTATTAGACATTTCCTCTATGGAAAAGTGTCTAAAATGTTATTGTGATTGCTATCTTAATTTCTTCTTGTTTGCTATTTACATTTAGATTTTGTCTATTAATTTGTAGTCTGCCATTTTACTATACTCATGTATTGTTTCTAATCATTTATTTGGAGGACTCGCTGAGGTTCTTATCATCTCCAAATAGTAATTATTTAACTACCCCATTTCTAATCTGTATTTCTTATACTGCAATTAACTTTCCTACTATTATCACTGTTGTTCCATCTCATAGGTATTGATAATTTGTATCATCATTATGGTTTTTTCCAAGTATTGTCTTAATTTCTTTAGTGATTATTCACAAGCATGTTGTTTAACCTGCACATGCTTAAAGTTTTTCCAGTTTATCTGCTCAGAGTTGTAAGTTGCATTACAGATTTGGTAGTTTAACCAGAAATTTGATGCTGACATATGTCATGTCTTTTATTTCTCTTTTTAGTTAGAACATTCAAACTATTCATAGAATAGTCCATTTACTGTATTCCTTTTTAGTAAATGAGGACAATTTTTCTGTTTCTTCAACAATTTCATTAATTGTCCTTGACATATCTCTCTCTCTCCCAGGTGCACTGAAAACCAATGGGAAGTTATCTGAAGAGACAACAGAGGATACAGACTGTGATGGTTCACCTTTACCTGAAGATTTTACAGAGGTAAGTTTATCCTTAAGAAAACACTTTTTGATTAGAATTATTGAAATTGTTGGCCTGTTTTATTGCAAAATTAAATCTAGGTGGAAAACAGGTTTATTTCATTTGTTATATTAATGAGTCATCGTATCCCAGTAAAAGAATCTTTTTTAGTCTCATCAAATCAAAAAAGAAACAATATATTTTCAAAATTGTTATGATAAACTTATCAAATTATCTTGGATCTTCTAGGACATTGAACTGTTTGAGAAAAAGGTTGAAATAGTAAATAAGTTATTGGAAAGGCTTTTCAAACATTCAGAGCACTAAATCATTGCAATTTACAGTATCACATGGTATCTAGTAAAGCTATGACTGTCAAGAGATGGATAGGGTTTAGTTCATGAAGTGATTTTTATTCCTTGCCAAAGAATTTTGTCTTTTTTCATATCTGGGAATATGACTTTTTTCAAAGAGGTAGAAATACTTTCCTGTGATGCTAGCAGGGAAAGAGCTAGCAGGAAGAATAGAAAGTTAGGCCTTCCCTGGTGGCGCAGCAGGCTAAAGCACAGCACTAAGAAGCTAAAGTCACTTCTGCAAGAGTTCCATCCCTACCTGCCCAGGAGGTGATCCAAATGGTCGCCCACTGCTCCCCTCATCAGTGTACTTCGTCAATCTGCCTATTCTCTGGTGAATCCTCTCACCACCCCTGTGCCTCTGGCCTGTACCCTAGTTCTGTATGCACAAATGAGTCTTAAAAAAAAAAAAAGTAAAAAGGTGTGCCCTCTAACAATATGGCTGAAATTCATCACTCTGCTTCCCCTGTTATTTTTAGCTCTACTTATTCTAAAAAAAAAAAAAATCTTATTTTTAATCAAAAAACAATTTAAAATATTCAGGGTTTTTTTTTTTTTTCATCACCTAAAAGATTACCATACTTAACTGTAGGATCCTGGTAGGTTGATTTTATGGACTTTCAGCAAGTACAGTCACATGAAGCCCTGTGCTTAGAGAAGCTCTGCACCTTGAAATTCTTAAATTTTCGTAAGATGCCATATATTTTTATTAGGCACAAATACCACAAATTATGTAGCTGGTCCTAGAGACAGAAAGACGTTTCCTTTACTACTTAAGTATTGGGTTTGTTGAACAGCAGGATTGTAAGCTAAACTTCAAATGGGCTGAAATTCCTAAATCTTTTCCTTGAGATTGTACTGCAGCTGCTTCCTCTTCCAAAGAACCAACATAAGATGAGAAGAACCAACATAACTGAATGCCTGTCCACTTAACCAAGCCCCTCACCCTCTTACACAGGCGAACTTTCAAAAGTAGTGGGAACTTGGTTAATACAAGTAACAAGTACAAGTAACATTGTAGTTTATTTCCAATTGGACTTTACTTCATCATTTTAACAGTAATAATAGTACTTGCATCTTATAAAAAGGGTTTA